TTTTTTGAGAGGTTTTTGCTATAGGGCGCGTGCGCTCACCAGACAGAGACAGAGAGACAGAAAGCGAGAAATCACCCCCCAGGGAGGATGGCCACGCCGCAATCCCTTCTCCTCCATTCTGCTCTTGGGATCTTGGGCATGCATGCACATGCGCCTGGCGTGAGTTTTAAGCCACCGGGTTTAAGACTCGAACTGCGGTTGACTACATGGGAGTCCAGTGACATAACCATTACGCTAACTGCTGCCCCCCCCATCCTGCTTTTTTGACAGTGAGGTCTATGGCATCTTAATTCCCAAGAGACTTGTATAATAGAGCAAAGACCCTCCCCCCACACACACCCCCGAGCTCCTTCCTGCACTTAGACCTCAGCAGAGGCTCAGATGACTAACTCAGTGGCACTGCTCATGGGAAACACAGCCTGAAGGACATGGAGTTGGGGTAGGCATCTAGGTGTTCGGAGCCCGGCCCTTTGCACATTTAGCACCTTGGGACATCTGGTTTCCTTTTCTGTGGGGAAGGAAGGAGATGTTAGAGTCTGGTTGAGATGACTTTCTCCCCACTCCTGATTCCCTGGTTGGGCCTCTTCCTGCTTGGAAGCTGTAACCATGTAGCCCTCCTCCAACCCCCACCCTTTTAGGAACGGCTGGCCCAGTGCCAGGACCAGAGCAGTCGGCATGCTGCTGAGCTGCGGGACTTCAAGAACAAGATGCTGCCGTTGCTGGAGGTGGCAGAGAAGGAGCGGGAGGCCCTCAGGACTGAGGCTGACACCATCTCAGGAAGAGTGGACCGTCTGGAGCGGGAGGTTGACTATTTAGAGACCCAAAACCCATCTCTACCCTGTGTCGAATTAGATGAGAAGGTAACCGGAGGCCCAGGGACCAAGGGCAAGGGCAGAAGAAATGAGAAATATGATATGGTATCGGGTAAGTGACCTGAAAACACCAGACACCCAGAACCTGTGCTCTTCCTTCCTTAGTCTCCACTCATTTATTTCCTTTTGTCCCGATACACCGAGGCTATGACGCGTGGGATCTATCTTAGGGAAATCTGTAATTCTAGGCCTGTTAAGGGGACTTTCTGGAGAACTACACTTCTGTGGTGCCCTTTCTTTCTTAATCCTTCCTAGAATGAGGTCCCACTAACCCCCTTGGGGACATCCTTGGTGTTGCCATCTAACTCTTGCCTCTATGTCCTCCTCTATGCCTTTCTCCTTCCCCACCAGACTGTGGATACACAATCTCTCAGGTGAGATCAATGAAGATCCTGAAGCGGTTCGGTGGCCCAGCTGGTCTATGGACCAAGGATCCCTTGGGGCCAACAGAGAAAATCTATGTGTTAGATGGAACACAGAATGACACGGTATTTGTCTTCCCAAGGCCACGTGACTTCACCCTTGCCATGGCTGCCCGGAAAGCTTCCCGAGTGCGGGTGCCCTTTCCCTGGGTAGGCACAGGGCAGCTTGTATATGGTGGCTTTCTGTATTATGCCCGGAGGCCTCCTGGAGGACCAGGAGGAGGTGGTGAGTTGAACACTTTGCAGCTCATCAAATTCCACCTGGTCAACCGAACAGTGGTGGACAGCTCAGTATTCCCAGCAGAGGGCTTGATCCCTCCCTACGGGCTGACAGCAGACACGTACATTGACCTGGCAGCTGATGAAGAGGGCCTTTGGGCTGTCTATGCCACCCGGGAGGATGACAGGCACTTGTGTCTGGCCAAGTTAGATCCACAGACACTGGACACAGAGCAGCAGTGGGACACGCCGTGTCCCAGAGAGAACGCCGAGGCTGCCTTCGTCATCTGTGGGACCCTGTACGTCGTCTATAACACCCGCCCTGCCAGTCGGGCCCGCATCCAGTGCTCCTTTGATGCCAGCGGCACCCTGACCCCCGAACGGGCAGCACTCCCTTATTTCCCCCGTCGATACGGTGCCCACGCCAGCCTGCGCTATAACCCCCGAGAGCGCCAGCTCTATGCCTGGGATGATGGCTACCAGATCGTCTATAAGCTGGAGATGAAGAAGAAAGAGGAGGAAGTTTGAGGACCTAGCCTTGGTTTTTGAATCTCCACCCTCATACACTTAAACCCCACTAAATTTCCTGCCCCTCATTCTGCAAATGTGGGCAAGTTGTGGTGCCCATCCCCTACTTTTTAGCCAGTGGCGACCAAATTCTCACATCCCCTTCGTCTCCAGATTTTGAGTAATGTTTTCAGAGCTGAAGAGTGAAAACACTAAACGTTCGCTCTTGCTCTCCTGCCCTGTGTCCACAAATTTCAGGCCAAGGTCGACCTTGCGAGTTCTGACTCTCACAAGGAGTCAACCCTAGGAGCAGGTGGCAGTATTTCCTGGCCTCAGTTTGACTTAACGGCAGAGAGGAATAGGAGAAGGAGACTTCAACCCTGCCCTCCCCTCCTGCCTTCAGTGTCCGGGAGAGTGGGCTTTTTTCCACATTATTTTGTATTATAACATTTCACATTAAAAGGAAAAGCCACTACTTTCCTGTGTGTGTTTGGGGTAGCCCTCAGAGCAGATTTCCCCCACGACCCTCCATTTTCTTCCTCCCACGGCCCTCCATGTTCTTCCTCCCACCCCATCCGCACTCCACAAACCACAGCAGGGACTTGATTGGGCTCCCTTTGCTCAGGGACAGAGGACTTCTCCAGTTACAGATTTTCCCAAGTGGTGCCTGGGGAAGTAGCAGAATCCCACCACTCTCAGAGGCTGGATGAAAGGCCTCCCTCCACACCCACAGGCATCTACAGAGCCATCCCAGAACCACTGGTGGCACTGTGCCTCTGGCCACAAGACACTGGCCCGGAGCACAGCTTCCAACTCCAATGGTCAGAGGAGATTTAAGCCTGAAAATGGATGAGAGTTGCATTGAAGTGTAGTATGGAAACCAGGACCCTGAATACATTTTCTGTGAGTGAGAACTTTACGGAAGTTTTCTCTGCCCCAACCCAGACCGACCTCCCACCTCCAGCATGGGGCCCTTCCCAGGGCCAGGTTGCACAATCGTTCTCGTCCTAGCTGCTCCGACTTTCCTGCTGCCACAGCGTCTGCGGTTTGGACAGGGAGGAGGGGCAGTGACCATGTCCCAGATGTTGGTCCTACCAGCTCCCCACCCATCCCTGCTTTCCTTTGCCCCACTCTCCTCATTTCCAGCCCCCTGCCACCCCATTCCTGGAACCTGGTTTCAGTCTGACCAGGAGTCCTGAAACTTTCTGGCCTAGTGCCCAGGCCTCTGGCAGATTGCAGAAGGCAATATGGAGAAAGGAGAGGAGGAGGGAAGCTCTAGGATCTGGACTCCTGTCTCTGGGAATCTGCTGGTCTCTGCGCCAGACTCCCTACTTC